ATACAAGAGTATAGTGTCGTTGTAACTCCTTAAAAAACCTGAACACATGACCGTGCTTTACCCAGTACGTACAAATTACACAGCCCTCCCTGCTCTACAGGCACACACCCTGCACCGTATTCAACCCTGTTTTCTGTGCAGTCACAGTTTGCCCTCAAGTATTCCTGCGTAAAAACACCGACACCGCTCTCGTCCCTACCCCGAAGTCACCCACACTTACACTCTGCAGGTTTTATGAGTGCTGCTAAATCATCCTCAAAGCAACAATGCGTGTCTGTGTGAGCGTACTGTATTGCCAGTGGCTACTGATTCATTAGAGGATTAGCTAGTTGACTGAAGGTAGGCTTTTACACGCCGTTGACATCCAAGGATTTATTCATTCTGCCTGCCCAGCGTGCTCTCGGGAGAGCCCGAAGGGGGATGGGAGGAACTTAAATCGTCAAAATGTCACTTTAATTCCAGCCAAACATGCTGACAGAGCGTTTTGTGGCCTTCGCAGTTCTTCGAAGAGCTGGTGTAAGCTGCTGAGCGAGACTGCAACAAGAGCTCCTCATCATGCTTCAGTGGGAGGCGGGCGGGAGAGTTTTCAGAGTTTCATTTCCTTCAGAGCATCACGACTGACCAGCACCGTGAGCGGCTCCGCTCATAGAAACCACCTGATTCTGAAGCAGAGGCATCAGTGACTCAGCCAAAGGAAACAAAAAGCCTGCCAGAGGCTTTACACCCTTCTTCTACACACAGTACAGCCACATACCATGCACTGCCATAGTGCTCTTTGGAAGCAATAAACGTTATGAAACACTTAAAGCATTACTCATCTTTTCGGGCCACTTGAGAGGCTGAACATCGCAAACATGTTTGACCTATTGTACCTCAAAAATACGGCTAACGTGTTTTTTTACAACTCTCCTTAAAGCTTTGTGTTGCTCTTTAACAACTCCTGAAAAATACACCTGTGCTAACTTAGTCAGTGCGCTTTTTGGGCAGTCGGACACAGTGGGTTTATAAATAGCTTCTTCTTTGAAAACAGTTGCCTGCAGCAGCTGGAAACGACACTAATGAGAGCAGTGAGACTGAAGCAAACGTTTGCAGTCTGAAGAAACAAAACAATCAGCTGAAAGATACTAAAACGCTCCACAGGAATGAAATCTCTCATATTAGATTGTCTTTTGACCTGATTCTCATAAATAACTGTTAATTAGCGCAGCTTTAAATATTTAACTGCAATTACGTTTAATAATTTTTTTACTATCCACCAGTTCTCGTTCACACTTTAAAAAGAAAACATACCGAGCTAACAAGTTTCTCTCAAAGCGTACGTGATGTCCTGAGCTAAACTTACTCCTGTGTCTTTGTTTTGTGTACAGATGTTTCTTAATCTACGTAAACATCTTTGCACAGGTGTAGAAACGGTACAGACACCAACAGAGCACATTCACCAGTCAGACAACAGTCAACTGTTCAATTCTGTAGTTTGGCCAAGTCAAGGAATTAACCTTAATTAGCTTCAGCTGATAAAGTCCGCAGACTCTTATCATTTCAGCAGGAGCCATCGAGGTCACGAGCTAAAAATAATAAGCCTGGATTGCTGTTTTTGATTTTTTTTTTTGGGTGGCAAAAGGGCAAATTCATTTTCCGAGCCTGAAATCCATCTGTGCTCTGAACAGGCCCTGCCAGCACACACGGGGTGAAACACTGGTCTGAATGTACACGGCCGGCACACAATGCACAGTGGCTCTCTGTTTACTGTGTCTCCCTATATAATCACTCCAACATCAGAGCTGAGCCATGGAGGCACAGCGCTGTACAATAAGTACCAACATTCAACGATTACTCTCCACCCCTGTTGGGCAGATATCGCCACACGTGTCGCCGTCACAAGCGTTTGTCGTCAGAGAGATTGGTTTATTACTTATTACTGATAATAGCAGCTTTCGAAGGCCCCTCCTATTCGTCAATTAATGATCAACTAAAGGCTGCGATGAAACACGAGCTGTAAACTTTGTAACTCCAACTGTTTGCAGAGTGGTCAAAGAAAACCAATTGGACTGGTAAAGACAATGAATTAGACGCTTGTGTGTGTGTGTGTGTGTGGTGTGTGTGTGTGTGTGTTGTGTGTGTGGTGTGTGTGTGTGTGTGGTGCGTGTGCGTACAGTGGCGGGGGTTAACGGGGAGCTGATGACCTCGATGAAAAAACCGTACAGTCCGCTGAAGACAGAAAGTCAGAGAGAAAGCACCACAACGAGATGTGTTCAAATGAGAAAATATGACACAGCAATGTGCAAAATGTTCTGGAGGGGAGAGAGAGAGAATAAAAAAAAGAGGATTAGATGGTCATTTTCTCAGTGGACAGTTATGTCACCGTGGCATGGGAGTGTATTGACGGAGATGGCGCTGTCCCTTAACCTTTAAATGAAGCAGACGGTAAACGCTGCTGTTTCTTTAAGACGCTGGGATCTCCCCTTGGAGAGTAAAGCCTGCAGTGTACTTACAGCAGCGGCTGTACGGTGCTGCCTCCATCACACAGGCGTTTGTCCGTGTGAGAAAGCATCCAGCTGAACCAGAGACTGAACCACTGTGTGTCGACGGGGCCGGCTAACAAAGACGACCTTTCAGCACTCAGCAGTTTCCCCGTCCTCTCTTGCTTTCTGCAGCCACTCACAGAGGAGCTGCCATACGTCTCTATCTCCTGCTGTCACGTGGCGGAGCGGGGTGACACTGGCATTCACCTTTGTCCCAGGTGCAGAGAGGCACCGCCCACACGCCTGGCGCCGCACGTTGGTACACAAGGCACTCCGCACATAAGGCACCAGCTCAACGCGGAGTAATCACTAGGTGCTGCGCTTCAGAGGCTGGTGTTTAAAATTCATTAAGGAGCAACAAAAGGAGAGACTGAACTGGTTTTAACGAGCCAGATAACAAACTACACGTGCTCTTTACAAAACTTATTAGTTTCCTGGTAGATCAACTACGGTTCATTCAGCCCGTCACAAAGTAATAATTGACTTCTGCGGAGGTTCAGACCAACGGTTGATCAGTTAACAAGTCGTATTGGCCGAGTTTGATCTTAATGACGAGGGGAATATTGGATTATAATTGATTATTGGGCAACTATCATGATAATCTATTAATAATCGAATTAATGTCTCAAGCACAAATGTCAAATGTTATTTGGTTCTAGTCTCTAAAATGTAAGCACTTGCTGCTTGTCTCTTTAAATAATAATAATAAATGTAATATCTTCATTATGTTCATATCTGTTCGTATTTTCTTCATTTTCAAATTCAGATTCTACAAAACTCAAACTTTACTCAACAAAGATCAACAGAGAGCATTTTCCTCGTCCTACACTCGGAGTGACTGACGACGGGGGAGCGTACTCGTGTCGAGCATGTGTTAGCAGGCGGTCGGAGATAACGCGGCTGCTTTCTGAGTTAGTCTCAGTAACAGCCTCCGACTAAACTGGACAGGCAGTGACATTCACTGGGTAACCCCCCCCCCGGGGGACAGACAGAAACATGTGGACAGACAACTGTGCCAGCGTCTGGGTTAACCCAAGAATGTAAAAAAACACCAGTGAACAGACTTAAAACTACTTAAAGTCCCATTTGTCTCGTCGTTCACGTCCGTCAACATCAAACTGAGCAATTAAGAGTCACTGCTGTAGATGTATGAAATATAAATCAACAAGAAAACATCAATCAGAATGTGAAATTAGCCCTGAAAATGAAACCTAAATAAAAAAATCGTCACAATCGGGGCCCTGCTGTTAGTCTGGCCTTGTCCGGCTTTGTTGACACCATTAGCACACTTCCTCCTCTCACTGTTCTACACTCAGATAAACGCTGGGTCCAGTGGAGCAGTGTCACGGCCCTAATGCCAGATCCAGATATAGCTGGACACCATGGGGATAAAAATACCCAAACAGATGGGAGGGTTCACAGGCGAGGAGGAGGGGGGGGGGAAGAAGAAGGAAGAAAGAGAGGCACTAACTAAAGATTTCAGAGGAGAGGAGAACTGCAATTACAGCTGTTTGCTAACCTCTGCCTTCTGTGTGGTGAGCAAAGCCTTCGGTGGATGCCTGTACAGAGAGAATGACCTCGCTGGGAAACACAAATGTAAAGATAATGATACGCAGACGGGTGCAGATCAGCTTTAGTATGACCACAGTTTGAGTTAGGCCTTGCTTACATTACGGCACCGTCAAGAGAAACAGAAGAAGATCCGCCGGTGATGAAAGAACTGCGAGTGGCAACACATTTATAGAAACGACGTGCAGAGGAAATGGCTGAGCACTGCAGCCATTGGTTGGCCTACAACGTAAGAAAACAAAGAGGCCTCAACATTTCATGTGGTTTTTCACAGCCTGTCTTAACGCTACTAAACCGGCGGCCCTGAGAAAAAGTGTTCACGCTGACACGAGACAAGAAGACACAGTGAATTGTGGATTGCTCGTAAAGGCCTGGTGTGAGATTACTAGAGAAGAACTGATGTTGGATCCAGTGACCGGGGATAATGTACGAGAGGCAGGAGGCTGGAAAGTGTCGCACTGTTTTAGAGTGTTTATTTTCAACCCAGAGGAGAGAAAGTTAGCTTCACCACTTCACGGAGCTAACAAAACACAAGGTTTACTTTCAGTTTGACATATTTTAGACATCAACCTGTCTCAGCTCACTCCTGTTTCTTGCTCGCCTCTTTAAAAACCACAAGCACAGCACGGTTGACTCATTAACTCCTATTTACTTCCTGCGTCTGTCGCTCTTGGGTCAAAGAGTCAACTGCACAAAGACAGACTGCTGCACATCAAAATAAACCTAAATAAACCTAAATAAACTTAAATAAACTTAAATAAACTTAAATAAAAGCACAACACACATCAGATAAGCAGTGTTCCTCATACAGGATGCATCGACACTGGACAAGAACCAGAACAGCGGTAAAAAAAAAAATTGCGAGTTCATATTTCTCTGCTACTTCACCAACCCTGAAGATGCACTTACCAATTTAATGGCCACATATTCGTTAGTATAGAGATTTTTTCCCAACCGCAGCTCTCCAAAGTTCCCGCAGCCGATTTTTTTACCCACGCGGAAGTTTGGGCCGACCATAAGAACTCCAGAATTGGTCCCCGAACTCCGGCCCCCGTGTCCAGTCCTGCTGCCGGCTGTCTTAGACATCTTTTTCCCTTCCTCTGTCTCTCCCTTGCCCCCTCTCTTGTCAAAATCCATAAGCTTGTGATACCCTGGCCTCTCCACGGTTATTCTCCAGCCATGCAAACCATAGAAACTCCAATAACAGCGATGGAGGAGGCTTTAGGGAGGGGGACAAATCTCACGGGACAGAGGAAAGGTGTTGCTGCTAAAACGTGATTCAGAAGACACTTAAGACGAGCTCAGACTACAGCTGAAGTGCCCCCGTGTGTCTGTCAGGCGGCTCTTTATGCCGAGTGCTTCCCTTTTTCTTTCTTCGTCGTGTTCCTTGTTTACCAGAGGGGCTCCGTTCTTCTACGTTTCAGCTCCAGTCTCACAGTAGCATGTCCCTGCCTGAGGAGAAGGCAGGTTGTGCTAGGATGTGCCCACGGACACACATACAATACGAGTCATAAAAAAGCACTCCGAAACCCAGCTACTGCATCCACAAGGCCACTTGGGAACATCTCCTGGAGCGCCTCATTCCTTCTGCTCAGCCTTCAGTGACACAGCGGACGCTCTCCATGTTGCAGGGGCCACAGCAGACGAGGGCGACCCGGAGTCAGAGAACACAGCGACGAGGGAGACGAGGGAGACGGGGGAGACGGGGTCGAGGGTCGACGTCAGCTGGAGATCTGCAGACAACAAAAACGGACAGAAATCAGTCTTTTTCCTGTAGAACAACAGAGATCATCTGTCAGAACTTATTGTTGTGAAGAAAGGAAGAACAGACGCTCGTGATGTTAACTAACTGCAGATGTCCCATTCAACGCTTACAATCAACTGTTAAACACTATATAAGCATCTGCGAAGCAATCAATAAGACGCCAAAATGTCGTTAAACTGAACAGAATGGATCATCATCTGTTCTGATTAACATTTTCTGGAGAGAGAAGCTGAAACCTTTTACTTGAAGATCACATTATGTTGACTGTGGCGGTTTCTTACTACGGCTGAAATGAGATCTTGCTCCAGACCAGCGCAAATTCAATAAAGCAATCGATGCGAGCGGAAATATTCCACAGACACGAGAGAAAAGATCTATTTTACAAGTAAAACTATTTTTTTCGAAAGCCCAAAACACACAGACTTTGTAAAAAGCTCCTATTCTTATAAATTAAACCGATGTATCTTAACGTCTGAAACACTGTTAATATAAGTTTAAGGCAAAACTAAAAGATTAACGCACATCCAAGAGGTCACGATTAGAAAGAGAAATAAAAGTAACAATCTCACACTAAAACCACACACTACTATAAACGCACCAGGCACAAACGACATCGATTACAACCACGATTTAATCTTTCTTTGGCAGTGTAACTCCACCGTCTCTGTCCGGACCAGCTCTCCTAAACTCCACGATCTGAGATGTTGGTGGTGCTGAAGAGAGCAGGTAATGCAGCTCGTTCCTAAGGAAAGGCACTTACGCAGATCGATGACCGCTGTAATGCCTCGTCTCGTCGGAGGGAGGCACATTATTGGAGGGGTTTTGAGACAGTCTAGTCCACAGCGAGCTCAGCTGAATCTGACAGACTAAACACTGATCTAACCGTCACATCGCTTCACGTTTACAGGACAGGTGTGCAGTCAATCATTACACCGCCTTGTCTCCCTTGTAGCACGGCGGACTAACCTACCTGCTCACAAGATGTGAATTAGAATAAATAAGGTGGGGAAACAACTAGTGACATGTGCAATGTACCAGTAATAATAATGTATAATCTAGACATTTAAGACAAAAGATGTGTTAATATTTGATACGAGAGAAGACAGATGTCCCCAGAAGACAACAAATATCTAATCAACTCGGTTAAGTTAAGTTTCTTTGGCCCATCTTGAACCATATGTGGCTGTCTCATTTCAGGAAGTTGTGTTTGTTATTCACGTCAGCTGTTTGGTAAAGGAAACCAATTTCCCTTAAAAACCACAGCGACTGAGTTCAGAGTCGGTATTTAGAAATATAGAGACAAAATTAACTAAAAGAAACTGAAATAAACTACAATAAACTGAATTAAAGGTTAAGTTATATCAGTCGTCAGCTGGTAATAACACGACGATTTCAAACGTTACAGATATGAAACCAACCACCAACAATGAGCCCTTAAATTGTCAATAAACATTAAATTAAACTGACACGTTTTTAATCCCGTGTTAGAGAATATAAAGTACATAAAATATATAAATGTATAATGTATAAAAGCTGTGTTAATGTGAGCTAACAGCTAACAGCCAGCTGTCATTCAGCGTTAGTTTCGGGTGATTTTAAAGGATGTTTTCTGCCTTTAATAGCACTCAAAAGTTTGTTTTTCGACACGAGATGAGGAGAAGGATAGTAAAACCTTACAAACCTTAAATATCTCTGAAGGTTTTGTCTTTATAAAACCCCCTCGGGTTCACATTGTGTTAGCAGCAGCGGCGAACAAGGCCAGATGCTCCAGTTAGCTTCATATATCGTTCAATCGCAGGCAAATTTGTGAGTTTAAAGCCCGTTTTCGTGAGCTACATAAACCCAACACCGACTGTAAAGGTACATTAATGTATAATAGTTTATCTTTTATCTTCCTGTCTGCGGGGAAATCGAAATATCACATATTAAGCGGTCTTAAGCTAAGCTAGCCACCGGATCCTGTTTGGCCCAAACCGGCTGATAAAAAGCAGCTAAACACCGAAACCGACGCAAACTGAACAAGTCGAAGCAGCAGGAGGCATAAAACATTAATTTATCGACCTCCTCCTGTGCCGACACCAACCTGGTTGACATTACTGAACGCTTAATAACTCACAAACAAGCAGCGACGTTGTGTAACTACAGAAATGTCACCGACTCACTGGAGGCAGCGTTGTGATAAATGTCATTTTAAACGCTTGTTTTCACCTCAGAGTCTCGTTTTCACGGGTCCACATCCCCCCCCAGCTTATAGCCCTTCACCTGCCTTTTATTTACCACTACCAGGGGCAACTCCTTAATCCTAAACAACCGACTGAACACCGACGGCAGCCCGGGATCTCTCGCCGCTCCGCTCGCTAGCCATTTTTAGCGCCCCCCCCAAAAAAAAAAAAAAAGGAGCAGTTTTTGGAGCAGCTAATCCAGCCACCCTTCACGGCAGCGAACGTCGTTAGCGGTCCAGATTCTCCAAAAAACGCAAGTTACGTCCAGTTTCCCTGCGTAGCGCGGCGCCGCTGCGCCTCCCGACAACCGAGGGAAGACTTAAAGAGACAACACAGCTAAAACCAACTTGAGGGGGGCCGGAAGAGAGAAAGCAGCAACGTATCAAAACAGCACCAACCAGACCGGACAACCATGACTTCGACCGACGCCCCTCGATAGCTCAGCATTCAGAGGGTAACACCGCTTCTCTCCCCCGTTGGCCGGCAGAAAACACACTCCGTATAGTTTGTTGTTTTCTCTCAAAAAAAAGAAAAGAAGAAAGAGAAAGACGCCCGCGTCGCCTGTTAGCTTTCT